TTTCGTAATCTACAAATTATTTTCTATTCTCTTTTTGTAAGGTCCTAGTAACGGAATTATTTTGCACTATGAACATTATTTTCACGAGTTGTTTTAGATTTAGCTTAAAAGACAATCTAACAGTCGACTAAAACCTAAATATATTTTGATGCTAGTTTATTCTAAAAAATAATGTATTTAATTTCAATTAATACAAAAATCAACATGAAAATATTTCATTATTTGTCAATGCACACACATATATATAAAACTCCCCAGTGATTGTACGATCCCCAAGCGTTATATTTTTCTTTGCATTGCATTATTAGGTATAGGATGTAATGGTGTAGTTTCAATCATACTAATTGCTTTAACTGCTGAAGAAGTTATATTTTGCTTGACCAATTTTTTAATATGGATTTTTCTTTCTTTTTACAGACTTATATAAGTTACTCTTTGATAATATAATTGAGAATATTATTTTGTGCTCCCCACTATTTTCTTCGCAAGGTAAACAATATTATTCTTTTTATTTATTAGGTCAATTTGCCTGTTTACAAATCAATGGTTATCTGAAGTTAACAATTTTCTTACTTGCTTTAGCTTGGAAAGGAAAGGAAAAAAATCATTAGATTGGAAGGTTATGGAAATTTATTTATATAAACACTGGATTGATATATATATGTGTGTATATGTAAATAAATATTAAGAGAACTTCATAATATATATACATGGCCGATTCTGTGTTCGGTTGAAAAATCCATCGTTTCACATGGCTTCTTTTTGGCTGGTGTCTAAGCCAGATATCTAACAAGGAATACTAGAGCTAGCTCACGGGATTGATAGTGATTTTAAGACAATCTTTTCTTTAAGTGTGAAAATTGTAAAATAAGAGAATCATCTAAAGCAATTTCTTTACAATTTTTTCCCCTTACGTAGGCTACTCCATGTCTTCAGCCTAGATGCACAAATTCGGTATTTCATTTTTTATTTATTAATGCATAATAAAAATAGAATTTTTATTAAATTAATAAATTGGTAAGCAACATAAGTGTAGGAGAGATGTACGAAATTAAAACACTTACATTATCTTCTTCTTCTTTTTTTGTCTATTACCAGTGTAACAACCTAAAACATTAATATAAAACTATATATACCTGTTCACACACACACATATATCTTAAATCTCAAGTTTTTTTTTTAATAAGTTTTAGTGATTTATTTTTTTTCTAAATTAAGGTTATAATAATTTATCTTGATTGTGGTGATGTCACATAGGATTTGTAAGTTTTTTTTAGTTGAAAATATCAAGTTTAGATTAATTAGTATTTAATTAAAATTAAATTAATTGCACAAGTATTATTCTCACATACCAAATTCTAATAACAAAACTAATAATACAAACTAACAAGAAAGTTTATAATACACAAGAAGTAACTTGTGGCATGTATAGTTGTTACTTCACATACTCACTTGAATGAGAGAGATAGACACATAAAAAAGAGAGAGAAATAAAAGATAGAAAATTAAAAAAATTCAATGAACGTGAAAATCTTCTTATCACTTTTGATGAGTACGGATGTAATTTTATGTATGTATCTCTTCCTTTCAAGTTGATATTCAAGTTGATAGATGGAATAACCGCTATACATGCTACTAATTATTCTTTGAGTATTATAAAATTTCTCTCGATCATTATATTTAATCTGTATTTATTGTTCATATTTCTTTAATACCAAGCTATATCGATCTCTCTCTTTTTTTTATAAATATTATTTAACACTATTTGTTACCGCTTTTTCTTCTGAGAATTGACATCTGCACCTTTTTAGTTACAAATTTTATTTCTAATCTTTCATTATACATTTTGTTTTGTTAATGAAATTTATGTGCTTTTTATTGTGCCTATTAAGATAGACTTAAAATTTATATTTAAAATTTTTGTCATACATAAATTAGGTTTTTTAGTAATACCCATACAACGCATAGAGGTGATTGTAAAATTTTTATATTTCTTGAATTTATGTTACGTATTCAGGATCAATAGTTTTAAATTAAGTAATTTATAAAAATGTCAATATTAATATATTAATTATATTATCCAATTCAAAAATATTTTTTGGGTTCAAGTTTTAAAATTTGTACATAACGTAACGAATGTGATGATCTGCTTTGCCAGGGCCACATCCACCATCGAAACCATCATTTGAAATCATGTTACAAGTCTAACTTCCGACGTTATTTTTTTCCTGACCAACACGCACATGCAGAAGTCCAACTTTATCTGATGGGCTAGGAGAAGTCTCGTGCTTGCCTTACTTGTTTATCTGCATCCTTAGTTCATTGCACAGATCATCTAGTATAGTGTGCCATTTTCGGTTTCCACCAGCTCGTCTACTTTAATCACGATCCCCGTTCTCCCTCGTGCTTTATTTATGTTTGTAAACCAACAAGTGCTTTTATTAAGTTCATCAATGTTCCATCTAAAAAACAAAAACTTCATCAAATGGCCAACTCCGACCGGTTATCCTACTTTTCAATTGGATAGGAATTGACAACTGCGAAATCTAGCTTAGTAAATGACAACTTTTTAAGTGTGCATATGTAACCATTTAACCTCAGATCTGACTCCCAGATGCACTTTCCCGGGCAAGGCAACATGGTTTTCCATGGACTAACCTGATTAGTAAAATTCACGGCTAACCAAGCCTGAAGGTATCCTTTCCATTGTGAAGTTCATCAAACTATAAAAATAGAAAATAAACTATGGCAACCGGGTTAATGCATTCAATCATATGAAAGTACAAAGCATGCAGCAGGAATAGAATATGCAACTAAAATAAACCAAATGAACAGTATGTAAATAACGTACACAGTATCATATCATTCTATTAGTCTTTAATACGCTACAAAAAATGGAAGCAACAACAATAATAACAATAACCACCTTTGTCTTATGCATACATGACTATGGCAAAGCAGGCTCATTGCCACACTAATATAAATGTGAGTTAAGCTGTGCCTCTGAGATTTGTCTTATTGAAGGATGATGATAACTTTACTCTTCACGCAATGAAGCATATTCAAGGTCTTGCAACAATGGCTCACTAAAGGCACCTGTTGAATTCTATATCGACGCAAAGCTTATGTCAACCGTCTCCTCTTAGTTTACTTTCTTCTCTTTCTTGGTTTCAGGCTTTCGGTAGAAAATTATCTGACTGAGGATGGTACCATTTGTGATCATACCAAGTAGAGAGCCCAAAATAACTAAAGAAGAATGAAGGATAGAAACTATGCAAAACACACACGATAAACAAAGAAATAGCGTCTGCAGCTTAAAAATAGCACAGCAAAATACCTATAAGTACATTGCACATAAAGCTGTAGAGGAGGGTGAGGTGCGAGGGAAAGCATTATTTAAAGATATAAAATCCCGACATTCATATTTACCATAGTATGCATATTTGACAAGAAAATCTCCAAAAGAAATATCATCTTAAAACTTATGCTTGCAAATTCATGTCCATATTCTTTTGTCACTTTCGTGAACATACTAAATTCAAAAACATGATCACTGTAAAAATTTTGTTTCACTATACCACTTCATGAAAAATCATATTCTCAATTGTATCCTGGCCAAGCAGCACATAAAACATTCACACCAACACAATTTACATCCCACGTATCAGCTACTCGAAGGAAATTGGTCTTTTTAAGTGGAAAAGGAAATTATGTGATGAAACCAGTATTGACCAAGAAACAGGACCAAGTGAAATGATTGTTGAATTTTTTAACCATGGAAGCCAGATTGTTAAAGTAGAGTCAAATCATTTTAACTGTTCAAATAATCAACTGCAGATATTAATTTAAATCTCCAACAAAAGAAGTTGACAAGGATACCACTTGTTGGTGCCTTCTCTTGCGTGCTGGTAAAGACTCTCACTGCAAAACAAATCAAAATTTCACTAAATACACTCAACACATCTACTCGATATGGAAACTGTTAAATTTACAATGTCACTCACCCAAAGAACCACCAAAATTCATGAAGCATGTTAAGAAGCTGAGCTCCCCAGTACTTTTGTTCTGTTCAAGGATAGCCATTAATTAGTAACATGAGAAAAGTAATCACGAACATATGTCTCACTCCTCATAGACAGAAAATCTTATATCAGAAAGCAAAATAAGCTAATAAGGGAGCATATTACTAACTTCTGCTCATCCAACGAGCTTAATTCTTCTCATGCGAACAATGAGAAGAATCCCAATTCAACACCTCATGCACCACACATTTACATGTCCAATTAGTACAGCTAAAACCTAAAATATGGCATGTGAGAGATGATAAAGGCACGATGACAATTGCTAGAACATCTGTGGATGGTTTTTCCAAGTATCCTTCTGCAGGGATATGTTGACATTGATATCAGCTGCTAATGATGAAAAACATGATGGCTGTAATAACCACAAAATCAAATATACAACATCCCTCTCACAAGGGCAGTATTCCACGTTCATTACAAAATAAGCAACTTTTTCGGAGAAAAAAATGCCAAACTGCTTATAAGGTCAATTTTGCAAGCTACAAGCTACAGGCTTAAGGAAAGATGGCAAAATTATATGACATCGAAAAATTAGTCCACGGAAAAGATTCTCCAGTCAACTCTTGCATAGTGCTATTTTGGAGGAAAATACTTTAACCAACTCACACTATCACATACAAAAGTATGGGAAGTTGTTGCTAGTATCTTGCAAGAGACTTACGGAAAGAAAGCAAAATTATATTTGATAACAGTGAAAGTTCAACACCCCTCCCAACCAACCCCCCCCCCCCAACAACAAATAAAAGCGAAAGTGATTTAGAGTGTCTGATTTTTCCAGGAAAACGTTTTCCTTCATTTTCTAGTGCAAACAGACATTGAAAATTTAGTCCACGGAAAAGATTCTCCAGTCAACTCTTGCATAGTGCTATTTTGGAGGAAAATATTTTAACCAACTCACAATATTATGCACTAACACCATCACTTAACCACTTCAACCAACTCTACCACAACCACCACCCCATTTCCATTGCCACCACCTGCACCACCATCATATGATCTCGAACACCACTGCTCCCCCATTTTATTACCATCACTACCTTTAGGACCATCAATGGAAAATAACTCATTTTTCAGGATAAAAATTTCTCAAAACAAATGCACCCTTAATCGAAAAGTTCTTTCGAGTAATTGCAGTACTAGAAAAAAACAAATACGCAAAAAACAATTTCAAACAGAGTTTATTGAGATATATCCTACAATTTAACGGCAAAACATAAATTCAATCATCTAACTTACAGAAAAGTTCTCCCATATCTGTGGAATCCTAGCAAAGAGAAAAATTGCATGTTGAGATGCCTGTAACAGATTGTTTCCACATTAGATTGCTTCACATATGCAAAAAAGAACAAAGAAAAGGGAAGAAAAAGAGAAGAGTAAAATTTCCTGAACATGGAATGCAAATATTCATGTCAGTCTAACACACTGAAGTTGTTCAAAAAAAAAAAAAAGCCTTCACTGAAGGTCTACTTTTCCGTTGCGGGTGACAACACCATTAACCTTTACATGGATTTCGTTTTTGTGTTACAAAATCAAAGAAAGGAAGGAAGAATGAATAGCAACAATTCCCAATGAAGATGAAATGCAGAGCAGACATTAAAGAGCTACTTACATAGAGAGCTTCAAAAAGAAGCGGATCAATTTGACCGGCTAAAACAGTTGGTGCAACAGCACAATAACTGAAACAATGTAATAAGGAAAAATATTGACTGCATTTTCGATCTTCGCAGTTTAAAATATCAAAACTAAGAGATAGTAGGATACAGTAATGCCCTGATCCATGTCGTAGTACGCACAGGCTGAGAAAAGTAGTAGATAACAGCAACTAAAATTATAGCTGCAAGATACAAGCAAAAGAGGAAGAAAGTTAGATCTTTCATTACACAACTTCCGCTCTCATGAATGGAATATAAAGTATAAAGGTAATGAATCCAACAGATCCAGCTGACCCAAAACAAACAGAACATAACATGAACTAGTCAGAGGAAAACCTAGGCTTAATTAACCAATCTGATAGTAGAAATATTAACTGCTTCGGGCTCAGCTTTTGAACACACAAATGTGTATTCAACAAGATACATTCACTAACGGCAATGAATAAAGTTCAATTCGTTACCACATCAGCTTCAACACTTGACATGATAAGCATTGGCAAACAGAGTATTTATAACTACGAAATTTCTACAGGCAAATAGTACACGGTGGATAGATAGTGACATAGATAGACTATCGAATTCAGATTCCTCGAATTTATAGCAATTAGTTTCTAATCCATCAAATGGTTAAATATACAAATTCATTATTCCACAAGGAGAAGGAACGATCTAGTTTGAATTTATATCAATTAGTTTCTAATCCTTCAATTGGTTGAATATACAAGTTAATTATTCTACAAGGAGAATGAACGATCTAGTTTGAATTCATTAACACAAACAATTGAGCAGTCTAAGACCAAAATAACAGATAAATGTCCCCAAAAAAAACCCAGAGATGCTCATCAAATTGTAAAATTAGATCTCATAATCATCATCAAGCCCGCTTCTCTTTTTTGAGAAAGTTCATGATTTAGACTTCAAAGTAATTTCATTCCTCTAACTTCAATGCAATGTATATTAATTAAATTTTTAAGAGCCAAAAAAGACAAGTAAAAAAGATAAAAGGTGGAGCACCTTGGATCAAAAGAAATGCCAATTCGCCATAAGCAGAAAAAGGAAGGCCCTTGTGAAGACAATAAGCTAGGGCTATGGTATATCCAATCACTTCAAGCTCAAACCCAACAACACTAAGCCCTCTCACACTTTTATGCTTCAAAATTTTCAGTATCTGAAATTGCGATAAAAAAAAAACAACCATTATTGTTTAAAAGTAACATACAAATTAAGAAATAATATGCAATGAATATTATAAATGATGAGAAAGAAGAATGCCTACCTGGGGGACTTTGACGGTGGTGGAGGCAGCAACGATGGCATAACCAAGAAGCTTGGAGATTAGTGGAAGCAAACAGTCTTTATCAGGGAATTTACCGTCACGGAGAGATCCAATTACGCAGCTGAAATCCATCCCTAAAAACTCCATTTTTTTTTGTCTTAATTTTCTTTTCGGGATTCTATGGCATTGCGTATGGTTTTAGATTTTATCTATTTCAGCGTCATTACTTTTATTCTATTCTTTTCTATTTAACTACGTTAGCTTTTATTTTTGTATCGGAATGTGTGTTTTAAAAAAAACAAATCAAAAATTGAGTGTTTTTAATTTTAAAAATTAATAAATGTCCACTTCACGTACTTGTACAAATCACATTTAATAAAAATAAAAATAAAAACATCAATGCAGCAATAACCATTTGTATTAAGGAAAATAGAAATAAAATGCGATTAGTTATTAGAAATAAATTTGCGTGGATCATAATTGATTGGGTAAAAAATTAAAAAAAAAAAACAAAATATTTTTTAAAAAGTAGGTTTTGATGAAACAATGTATAGATTTGTATATTTTGTTGGTAAATGAGTTTAAAGATTTTATTAGATACAGCTATAAAATTGTATAAAAAAGCATGCTTTCTTGTAGAATGAAATTGTATTTAATTTTGTTTTTAATTTGTAAAAATAAATAACTTTTTCATCTTTAAAAATCAGAACAAAAGATTTGTCTGGTTTAGATGGTTGTTAGAAGGCCACGCTTTCGGTTAAAGATGGTTGTTAGCGCGTGAGGGTTGTCGTTTGCCTTGATTAGTTAGAGGCTGCACCAAGAGTCCCATAGCAAGGCTATGGATACGAGCCCACAGGCTTCGCAGGCGGACGTTTGCCTTTCCATCTTTTGACTTTGAAAGTTTCCAGTTCTCTTCATTGAAATTAATAAAACTTCAAATGTAGCTAAACTATGAATGAAGTGGATAACCCCTCTCGTAAGAATGTTTGGGTCACCTTTCTGATTTTCTTTGACATATATTCATTGTTTGTTGTCCGTATAAACCTCCTTCTTCTTCTTCTTCTTCTTCTTCTTCATCTTTTTTTAGAAACCGTATAAACTATACTACTTTGCTTTAATAGTATGAAATTGAAATACGCACAAACTATTAAAAAAATATAAAATAAAAATAAACTTATTATTTATTTTCAATGGGGCAATGTTCGAAAAGGATATTTCCTTTCTTTATTAGCATTTGGGAAGTAATTGTACATTCTAAGAAATAAACACGAATATCAAGAAATTAATAAATGACTTGAATTTAAAAGTCAGGACATACTACAATGGCTTGAGCTGAAGAAGAACCGATTGACTGGTTATATACAAATTGAAGCAATCAATTTTTTTGCTGAAAAGAAAAAGGACTATAAAACTGCAATCCCAAGCCGAGTACACTTCTACATTTTTGGGAAGAAAGAATATTATTTCTTCTCCAGGCCATCTTTGTAACTAAAAAAGATTTCAATGAAAACTCAGTATGGCGGTGGTGGATAGATTCCTGATGGTGGTGGTGGATACACCCCGGATATTGCACCTGCAATCAAGTGAAAATAAATAATAATAATAATAAAACGATACAATTTAATTTTGGCACTTAGGATAAAAGGCCTGATATATAACAAGCAAAGAAAAGTTTACCTGTAGGATAGCATGGTAAGGGCTGGTGGGGAGGTGGGTATGCTTGTGGAGGGTAGCCTGCAGGAGCACATGCTTGCGGAGGGTAGCCAGCTGGTGGAGTGGGAAGGTATAAGGATAGCGGATAGGTTACAGGATTAGGAGGGTACCCGGTGTACGGAGACGCGGCAGAGTAGGCAGCTGTGGCAGGGTAATGAGTAGCAGGTGCTGTTGACATTGAAGAATATGGCAGGACCTGGTTCAGGGTGGCTGATGGTGTTGCATATTTTGGTCCTGATGGAGTCATTTTTGCTTTATGCTGCTGCAGTGCTCCAACAACAGAAACCATTGTTATTAATTTGCTTACATTCTCAATCTAGTTCTATATCATGCATGTGCATACATTAATTTATTAATTCGTAAACAAATTAATATTTGGGATCGAAAAGTACTTCGGCATTTGAGTAGTGCAATATCAGTCGAACTTCCCCTGAATGCCTGCGGTGAAGAGAATGTATCAGAAATATAAGAATAAAGACAAGAGTCAAATCTAACGACAGAAGGTTATGGGAGCTTGTTTAACCTCCCAGTTTTGCTCTGTATGGGCCAGGAAACATCATCAAAACCTCCGGAAAGGGCTTTATGGAGCTGAATTCTACATTAAACAGGTTTCAGGAATACAGTGATCAGTATGATCCTAGGCTATAGATGGCAAAAAATTGTTTGCATTTTATTTTCTTTTATAGTCTCTGAGGACTAACAAATTACCTTCCGGTGCCAATATGTTCATCAGCAGAGAGGGTGTGACTGTTCCAAACTACAACATTCAATTCTCGGAGGCCTTCAATAAGTGTGAAAATGAACTTCTCCTGAAAAGTGGGGTTCCTTCCTCCATCTGATAGGACGAAATGGATTTTTGATGCATCGTAATGGAAGTGTTTTAAAATTTAACGAACTGGTTTTGCATATAATTATTATTTATACAGGAAAGCAAATTAAACTCAGGAGATCATGGGCTCAAAGAATCCCATTCTTAGAATTAAACGATCAAAAGTTAAGCATGATCTGGTGCTGACTTAATCTAAAAAGTGGTAGACTTAGTCTTGATTGATGCCAAAACCTAGTCAAATCTATAATAAATAAAATTAAACTAAAGAGGTATAGGTACCTGTGCACGTTTTGGTTCGGTACTTGGTGTTTCCATACTCAACACTAACATAAGGATCTTGTCTTGATATCCACTCCTTGTCTTCCAAATTGTAACAAGCAACGACTGCCAAGAAATTATGAACAGAGAGATCATTAAGATGATCACTTATCAGTTTCAAAATGATCTAGTGATACGTAACAATGGTGAGCTAGAAAATCATACCAGTGACCTCAAGAGGCAAGGCTTGGATTCCACAGATCGACATGAATGCTTTAATGCGAATGAGGCTGGTTGTAGGGCAATGAATCAAGACATAATTAGCAAGCTCTTTATAGCTGTAGGGATAGAGGTTTGTGATATGGGAAGAGTTGACGTTGACTTTTTAGTCGATGCTTTTGCTATTAATTCTACCACGAGTTGCGATAATAATTTCCCTTTTGTAATCATTATTGTGAAAGTCTTTGCAGAATTTTGCCCCTTTTTTTTTTTTTTTTTTGAACCAGTAAATTAATCTTGCAACTTGGTTCTGTTACGATGAAGCAATGGGCTAATTAATATTTAAACTCAACAACCTACAAGTAAAACGACGGGACAGAAATGTCTGCAGCGAAAGACTTGTTAACATATCAACCTCATGACTACCAAAAAGTAAAGATAGACCTGAAGTCTTATTATCGAACAAACTCACAAGCATTTTCAGACTCTAAAACTGTGATTTTTATGTTTGAAAAAGAAAAAAGTAATCAGCGATTCTTCTTCTTAATTCTTCTTTTGAACAAGTAATCAGTGGATTTAACCACAGTAATACAGAAGAAATGGTGGTGTTGTTTCTTTGTTTCGACCGTTGACGATGATGAGCTCAAGACAAGGCTCATCCCAACGAGTACAAGTTAATAACTGCAGAGTCAAAATGCCAACTCAATCTCAACTATTTTACAACTTCTCTCGTTTCGTTTAATCAATTCTTTGCATAAAGACTTTTGACTTTGGAAAATATTCTGGTAATGCAATTTGCCAACATATATATATATATATATATACATAAGCTTTTTTTTAGATCAAACATATATTTGCGTAGCTGGGGTGGAAGCCTGGACTTGAGTACAAATAATTTCTGCTTTCTTCAAAGACGGGCCTAGCAACCCAATCTGCCTGGTGGGCTTTAAAACCAGGCTTTTTATTCAAAAGCTAAGACAAAATTTTGCTCATATGGGCCTGTGTCATCGTATATGTTTACAACTCGTATTAGGCGAAGATTCATCCACACTTGAGAAGAAGGCTTTTGTCTTGTTCCAGAAGGAAATTACTCTGCTGTCACTCGATCGGATCAGAATCAGACCATCAGCAAAATTTATTAATGGGCTTGACTGGTATATGATTTTTTTTCTTTTCGATTACACAGAGGTTTGTACAGGAAACTTCTTCAAGAAAAGGAAACCATCAGTCTCAGTGGATCTGTAATTCATTAGCTAATGAAAGAATTTGATTCTGCCTATCCAAATCTTCGTTACCAAAGCGTAAAAAAGAAAAAAGAAAGAAACAGAAGTCTTAATTACCAATTAGTCAAGGGGTACCAAGTCTTTTTCTTATTTTTAGAGGGTCAGGATATCCTTTATGAGGATCTTCACATGATAGTAGCAGACTGAGAGAAATAAACTCTCTGGATATGCCTATCCAGTGAGATATGAGTTTAAGGATTTAGTACCAGTTGTAGGTTAATAATGGAATGTTCTATCCAAAAAGATAAGGGCAGAGAGTGATGATTGAAGGCTGGGAGGGCCGTGCCAATATCCTTTTGAGAAAGAATGAGATGCTCTTCTGCCCTATTATTTGACCACCCCACCCCACCCCTGCAGGGATGCTATCCCTATCTTATGTTTTTCATCCTGGACCAATATCCTCGGTAATTTCTAATGCAAGATGTTGACAATACCAATCACTAGGCACCATATTGTCATTCTAACTACGTACTTTTTGTAACTAAGACGAGTTTGACTATCAAAGGCTGTAGATGAAATAGTAAAAAGAATATTTCTAACTGAGTAAGAGCTATTTGATTTTTAATATTAGAAATCTCTCCCCTTTAGTTTATATGGCGTTAGACATGGATTATTGATAGATTTAAAAAAATTAATTTTTAGAATTAATCAAAATTTACGCTTGTTATGACACTCATGTAACTTAAAAAATGATGATAAATTTAATATTAATTAATATAAAAATTGATTCGAAAATATTTCATTATCGATGATTTTAACAAATGTTAATTAACTTGATTTTTATCAATGTGTGGATCTCTACTAGATCCTTTGATGAGTTGGTGGGGATCACATTTTGTTATGGAATGGAATTTATTGGTGATATAATATGGGTCCATGTGATAAATTTTGAACAGTTTCTTTTCTTTTTTCTCAAATGTTACTGTTATTGTGAATTGCTATAAATTCAAGACAAAACTAAAAGATTTATTAGAAATTATTACATCATGATTAATAATTTCTCTTCCTTTTGTTATAAAAAAAAGGCTAGAAAGCAGCTTAGTACAGAACAAAATTTATAGGAAAAGAATTCCAGCAGATCCTCTAAGAAAATCTAAAGATACCTTGTTGGCTAGCTAAAACATGGTTAGTGAAGATTTTAATGGCAAAAATTATCTTCGTTCTATTACAATTTGACAATTTTAAGCTTTTATTATCAATTTTCATAATTTAAATCTCAAAATATCAGTTTTTTAGCAAATTTTATCCAAATCCATTAATTGTAACGGTCAACCTAGTTGATCGTTAATTTTTTTTCATGTTGTTAATTTAAAAACAAATGTTAAAAATGCTTTTTCTCTATTTTTCAAGAGATATTGTTTCTATTTAAAATTTCTACATATTTATCCATTTGATTTGATGGTCAATTAAATTGTTATTTGTATATATATATATTTTTAACTTTTATGTAGTATCATTATCCATTAAAACAATCAAATTCTATAATTAATAAAATACAAATATCTATTGGTTGAATTTAATCAATTGAAATTATCAAATAATTAATTTTAACTGAAACTTTTCTTTTGTTATACCAATAAATTTATTCCTATGATCTGTCAATTATTAAATTTAAATATAATTGTATTTATTTAATATTTTTTTATCTTTACATGTTTTATAGGATTTTTTTTTCTCATAATACAATATGCATTTAAAATTGTTAGAGTTAGAAAACCATTTTTTTTACTTTTCTAATTTTATTTTATTTTTAGTTTTTTAAAGATAGGTTTCAAAAAGCGATAGCTCTTTTTTGAGAAGAACCCAAAAAATATTTAGTGATAAATTTAATGAATTTTTTTAATTATTTATAGGTAAACGGATGAAAAAAAAATCTCTTTTGAAAAATTAAAAAACAAATTAACGTTTTTCCATTTCATTAATTCATTCTTCTTATTCATTTTTTTTTTTTTGAATTTTTGAATTTTTGAATTCTTTATTCAATTATCATAATTTTTTAAATTAATATCATAAAAAATTAACAGTCATTTGGGTTGACTATTACAATTAATGAATTCAGATAACATTTATCTAAAAATTGATATTTTAAAATTTAAATTATGTAAATTAATAATAAAAATTTAAAATTATTAAATTATAACAGAATGCGGGTAATTTTTTCTTAAAATTGCTAGGGAAGCAATAAGCATCAAGAAATGACCATCCAATATCCCTCTGCCAAGTGCCAGCTATCGGATATTGATGAATAACTTCTTTAAATAAATTAGTTTGATTTTGTTAGCATTTAATTCGTATTAATTTTGACATTGATTTGAGATTACCTAATTTGGTACACTCCAATGAGTACTTTTTCAATGTTGTGATTATGACCTAAAAATCCATCCATTCCTGAGGAAGTTTAATTCCTAGCTAGTCTCTTCGTGGTTGTAAAATTAGCCTACTTGGTAATGTTTCGCCGCCAATGAGATAATCCAAAAATACTAAGTTACTTCTCCTCCAAACCGTTGAATTTGCCAAACTTCAGTGTTATTTCACGTGTTTACACTTTGAAGAGTTAGTAAATATAGAATCGCAAAGTGGAATACGTACGATTTCCACCGTCCAAATGTGTTCACGTATGGTGCGGAGAGCATTAGTTTGTTTGCTTTTCTGAGTGATATAGACAGCTATAGAGAACATTTCACCATTCTCTATTAGTTTCTTTGTGTTATGTTTTCGGTTTTTTTTTCCTCGTTACAAAACTAATTATGTAAAAGTAACTGCATATGGATTACTGTGAGTTGTAATTCAAATTCATGTTACTTTTGGTGGGGTAATAGACATTAGATTTGGGCTGGCCCATATATTATGGGTCTAGCATTCCTGATCCAAGTCCAATTAAGAGAAGCAGGTGGTCAGAAATTTGCAGTGAATTTGATTCTGTAGATTGCATTAATGTTTAGACTGGACGGTTTCATTTTCTTCCTTAACAAACATTTTCGGCACAGCTTTTAAAAATTGTAACTGAGTAATTGGCTAATTGGGCTTGACAGGATCTGGGATTGTGGCCAATGGTTGGGGAAGTTGGCTAGGTCTGAAATTAAAAGGGAGCATTTCGCTTTGCAATTTCCATTTTTAACATTTTGGTTGGACTTTCAGTTAGTCGAATTTATCAAAAGAAAAACTGAACTCAAAATGAATTAGTATTCGGTTTCTTTTTATATTTGGGTTTGATTATTCTGTTAAAATAGATTTTTTCTGATTTTTTTAATAATGTAAATAGGTAAAAAAAAAAAAACTATTTTATGGACTATGTAATCCTTTCTTTAGCCCAAAAAAATTAAATTAACCTATATAAAAAATAATAAATATTTATTTAAATAAAATTAAAACACGAAGCTATACCACATAATAAGGTATTAAAATTTAAGTACAATTTCATTAATCTATAAATAAAATATATTATGATAAAAACTATTGGTTGTTCAAACATGTTGTAAATAAAATTATCAAAATTATTAAAGTTCAAATGACAATAAAAAATTGTTCTAAAAAAATCAATTTTTTGTGAAAACGGAATTGAAATTTTCAAAAACGGAACTAAAAAAAAATCAATTTGTTTTTATATTAAATTAAAAATCAAATCAAAATTGATATATTTTAATTTGATTTTTCAATTTAAACTGAATATTGTTCGCCCCTCTTTGAAATGCTGCGTTTTTATCCCATCAAAAGATCCCCTCCGACAATTTCCACATTTTATTGGTTAATCTCCAGGATTCCGCAGTTAAATTCCGTTCAGACCACCTTCGACAGCACGGTAAATTAAATTTCGTCCATATCACACGTACGATGATTGTAAATGGCTCGAGTCACTGTCAACATGACATGGCCCTTCTGTCCCGTTATCCTCGGTAGCAAGAAAAATAATTGCATAGCACGGCTCTTTTCTTGGTGGGGTATGTGTCCATTTTGTCAAGGACATGTTGTTTTCCTAGCTACACAGCCACCTATCTACAAATATCCCACAACCATACGAGTTGATGATCTTTCGTGATTGGTTTACATAACCAGGCTTCATCTGAGATGCCAATGATTTAATTTTAGCCATTACTAAAGTGTATTTAAAACGAAGTTGGTGTGAGATAGAGACGAGTATAACAATTGTATATGTGGCGGGCCATGTTTACTAGAATCAGTATGATTTTTAAGGACCAGTACTGCTGCTAATTTACCTATATCTATAATCTATAGACTCACTGTTATGTCGACGTTTGCAACACGAGGACTAATGATGCGTTTCCGAGGCTCCCAATCATGGTTTATGTCCAAAATGCCATTATCAAAATAATTATAATTAACAACGGTTTAAACTGTCATTAATTATTAAAAAACCGTCGTTAAAATTTATTAGTGATTGTTTTGCGTTGAAACTGTTTGCAAAAAACTTGTTACTAATAAATTAGGAATTTTTTTAAGACCGTCAGTGATTTTGTGACGAAAAAATCATCACTAATATAAAACAAATCGTTGCTAATTTTTGATAAACGAGCAACTTTTTTTTATTATAGTCACTAAAGTGTGATTTAGCGACTGTTTTTTGTGATGGTCACTAAAGTGTGATTTAGCAACGGTTACAACCTATCGCTAAATCCATTTGATTTTTTTTTTAATTTGCAATTTTTATTTCATAGCTTAGTAGAGAAATTTAAGTCTGTTCCAATTTAACAACTAAAAAAGCGTTATAAATTAGATTTTTAAATATTACGAAACCATTATAATATCTAAAATTCAATAAAATGAAATATATATTAAAACTTCAAATTATGAAATAATTTTAAAGTTTGTTGATAATTTTTTTTTTAAAAAAAAGAAAACATAAAAGCTAGAAGCAATCGATACGGTTGTAAGTTTAAGGATCGGTAGGATTGTCGGTCGGAGGATCGATGAATAAACTCGCTCGTCCGCATATTTAGCAATATCTACCGCATCATCGCATGTTACTTCGAATATATTGTTGCAGCTCATTTGTAGTAGTTAAGAGCGATGTAACAATATTTGAACACAAAATTATATCTCATCAAATGGAACTTAAATGTATCGGGATTTTTATAACTACGGTTTTGATATTTTTTAATTTTACAAGGATATGTTATCTTATGTTCGTCCATATACTCCGAATAACTGACGACAAAATTAATAAATTCATTAATCTCATCTACGAAATGTTGATTTAAAAGTCCATCGGTTAATTTATAGTCAATCCATGAACAATCCAAATTCATTTTAAAATAAATGCAATTAATTTAAGAAACAACTAATTTACTTCAATCAACAAATAAAAATTTATTTAACAACAAATAAAAATTTATTTTAATTACAAAATGATTGACTTAATTTAACAATTTAAAAACAAAATTAACAACCAAATTAATTAAACTAACACGCAATTTTATATTTTTAAAAATATTTAATAATTTAATTATGAAATAATTTACTTAATTAACTACCTAACTAATTTTTTTAAACAATAATTTTATAATTTACTCACCAACTAATGGACTTAATTTAACAATTAAAAAACTAAATTAACGAGCAAATGAATGAAACTAACACATAGTTTTATGTTTTAAATAAAATATTATTAATTTAATTATAAACTTTAATTTTTCTTATTTAACAACCTAATTGATTCTTTTACAAATAATTTAAATAATTTAATTATAAAGTAATTAAATTTTTTTTTATGAGACCAGAGACGTTACCTTGAAAATTTATTGATAAAAAATGAAATAAAATACAAAGGGGACAAACCAGCCTATCCTTATATATTGGGAGGACAAAGAGATATAAACCCCTTAAATAAATAAAAGAAGCTCAAAAAATAATAACATTCCTATGAAGTGGAAGTTTATATTATACTAAAACATATGAAATTCCTAAACCAACTCCTATCACCAGAAATTTTAAATCTAATCCAGAGGATTAAGAAGCCTGAAAAGAGAACAAACCTATATTGTCATTCTTGATGGCCTAATGGATTATGCTTGGAAGCTCTGTAGCAGAGAAGATTACTTTCCACAATGCATGCTCAAAGGCCCAACAAACCAGGCTGTCTGCTACTTGATTTCCTTCTCTAAATACATGCTGGAGGCTGGACTCTTGAGATATGTTGGCCCCGCAGTCCCTGTAAATATATAAGCTTCCACGGGATCTCTCTAGTGCGTAACATTCCCGCTACAGCGAGAGCTGAATCCATTTCTATAACTTGAGGGAAGTAACCATATTGAGCACATACTTTGATCCCCTCAAGTAGTGCTAAAGCCTCACCTTTACTGTTAGAACCCGGACCAAAAAAACAGGAGAAAGCCAAAACCAAAGCTACCTTTTCATCCTCTAGTATACCTCCTCCCGTGTATATATTGCCTTTAGAAGCCATCCACGTTCAATTTGAGTATGCATGCATGGGGATGGTTCCACCTAACCCATCTTCTTCTTATCACACCTGACATCTGTACTGCAATACCCAGAGCTTGAAGACACAAACTGTCATGGAAAGAAGAAATTTCGTTTCGATTGGGATAGCTTGTTCAGGTCGTGCAGCCAGTGCAGAACTTTGTATTTGATGCCAACAAACAACTAAATGTAATGAATAAAAACTGAATTAACAAACAAATAAATTAAAGTAACACATAGTTATATCTATTTAATACAATATTTACATAATATAACTCTAAACTAATTTTCTTAGTTAACTACCTAATTACTTATTTTAAATAATATTTTAAAATTTTAATTACCAATTAATTAATTTACTTAATGTAATGAATAAAAAATTTAATTACCACCTATATATATAATTAAACTAATAAAAAATTAATTTCGTAAAATAATTAAATAATTTATTTTTCAATAAATTTAATTAATGTTATTAAAATGTAAATCACTTATTTAACAATCAATAAAGTAATTAATTAAACTAACACCTATTAAATTTTTTGAAAACAATTAAATTATTTGAATACCAACAATTATACTTAATTAAATTAACAACTAAATGAAATTTATTTAACACTTAATTTATTAAACTAACACTTAAATATTTATTCTAACAAAAATTAAATTAATTAACAAATAAAAAATAATTATAATAAAAAAATAAATTAAACTAACTAACTAACAATTAACCAATAAATCACTTATTTAACAACAATTAGCAATTAAATTTTTTAAATCCCAATAATTAAACTTAATTTCATTAACAACTATATAAATCAAAATTATTTAACACATAATTTATTATACTAACACTTAAATAATTATTTTAAAAAATAAATTAATTAAGAAATAACAATTACTTATAACAGCAACATAAATTAAACTAATAATTAACAACAACAATTAACAATTAAACTAACTAACAATATAATCAATTAATAAATAATTAACAACAACAATTAACAATTAAACTAACTGATAATTAATTAATAAATAAATAAAAACAATAACAATTAACAAAAAATTAAATTATTCAAATAAATGGAAAACAATGAATGGGTTACCAATTACAAAATTGGAGGAGTAGAGAAGGAAGAGCAACTATCAAGAAGGAGGAGGAGGAGGAGCTGCTGCTTCCGCGAAGGAGTTGTTGCCATGGAGAAGAGGAGTGAAGGGAGGAGGAAAGGAGAGAAAGAAAAAGAAAAGGGAAGAGGAGAGGGGAAGAAGAAAAGATGAGAAACAAGGAGATTTAAAAGGACTTGGAGGTGAGATTGAAGGAGAAATTGGGAAGAAAATTCAAAGGTGCAGCTGCTGGAAGAAGGAGGAGGAGGAGAGAAAGAAAATTTGGGGGAAAAAGATGTGGGTAATGGGTTTTAAGAATTAAGTTTTTTAGCGACAATTTTGGTTTCTGTTGCTAATAAACTAAAAAATTTAAAAATTATCATTTTTCCTCTAACGATCATAAATTAGCAACGATTTTTAAAAATCATAATTAATTTTCACATTTTGCGATGGTTTTTATCTAAAAAAGCCATTGTAAATTTCCTTCCCATATTAGCTTTGGGAAATAATAGGATTTAGTAACGGTTTTTATCGACCGTCGCTAATTATTCTCGGACTAAGAAGATACAAAAACCATTGCTAAAAATCAATTTTTTTAATTAGCGATGATTTAATTAAACCATCGTTAATTTCAAATTAATTTGTTTACTTAGCGATCGCTCCACGTAAACCATTGTTAATACCAATCTGGTTTGACCAAAATTAACGACGGTTTAGAAATTGTTGCTAAAATCCATTTTAGAAAGGAAATTAGTTACAATTGTATACAAATCGTCGCAATTAATTGTTTTTGGCGATGGTTTTTAAATCCATCCCTAAAAATCGGTTGGTAATCCCAATATTTTGATAGTGTATTCCATGTATATCAAGTTTATTACTATAAAACATGCTTAGGAAATGTGAAATGTTCTTAAAACATGAATCTTCTGCTTAAACATTCCAGCAAAGCGATTAATTACAATTACTCCACAAATTGGTAGGTCAAGAATCGCCCTTCTAATTATAATTTATTTATTGCTGAAGTATACATTAGTTGAGCTGAGTAATTAATGAAATAAAACAAGCTATCTAGCAAAGAAGGGAAAAGAAATGCAAAAGGACACTAAGGACAGTCCCATCATGTTCTTTGAACAAACAAACAAAATGAAAAAGGTTCTCTTATGTTTACAACTGCTAAAGTTTGCTTTCTCTTAAAAGCATGCACTCCACGCCCTTAATAAAACTTGTACTATCAGTTTTCTCGAAATAAAACTAGTCATTTCATTTTAAGTGCTTTTTGAATCCTTAACTGCCTATGTCCCGCCCCTTAAATACCTGACAGTGGCGCTATATACAAGTGGGTTAAGCAGGAGCGTGCTTTTTCACACTCAGTTTCTTGTTTCCTGCGCTTGGTTTATGCCAATTGTCAAGCTTTCTGTTTGCTTTTTCCCCCTTTTATTAAATGTCTCTTACACTACAGCTCCTCGTCAACTGGTAGCTCATCCATCCCAACCCCCCACCCCCTCTCACTCTGTGCGTCTGGCTTTCTTTATCTATCTTTCTGTACATGGAAGGTGGAGGACTTCCCATGCTTAACTGTATCTTACAGCACACGCTGAGGAGCCTGTGTTCATGTACAGATTCTTCTAATCCTTCCAAATGGGTGTATGCAGTCTTTTGGAGAATACTGCCCAGGAATTACCCTCCACCAAAGTAAGAAACTTGAAATTAAAGTTATTTGCTCACTGTAAAGGGAACAATTATTATAATTTGGTTATCAGAATGAATTTCAAAGGTTAATATTTTTCTGTAAGTACATGCATGCCTAACGCCAAGGGGATGCATTGTTTTCTTGCAGGTGGGACTATGGAGGCACTGCTCTTGATCATTCCAAAGGAAACAGAAGAAACTGGTTAGGATGACCAAAATCCCAAGTCATTTTTTTCTTAATCTTAGGCTACTGATATTTATTCCTTTTTTTTTTTTTTTGGCTTTTCAGGATCCTAGTTTGGGAGGATGGATTTTGTGATTTCGATGAATGCGAGAAAGCAGGAAGTGGGTACATGAAGGGAAGATTTGGACCAGATGTCTTCTTCAAAATGTCTCATGAAGTTTATAACTATGGGGAAGGGTGAGAATTTTATAGCTGTAACATTATAATTTTTGCTGGAATATGGTAGGTAAGTGAATGAAAGACACTGTATGGAAACTGGTTGCAGATTAGTGGGGAAAGTTGCTGCAGATAACAGCCACAAATGGGTGTTCAAAGAAACCCCAAATGAGAGTGATCCTAACTTAATCTCCTCATGGAATATGTCAATTGAACCTGTAAGATGATTTGTACAAATTTTGCTCTAAAAGAATGAAAGCAAATAAAAAAACTGAACTCCTTTGTCCTTCTTACATGGCTTTCTAATATATCTGTCCTTCATACAGCAGCCAAGAGCATGGGAATTTCAGTTCAATACAGGCATTCAGGTTTGTACTCACAATTCATTCAGGATTAAAAAATTAGAAATTCAGTCCAATCATCAATAGTTAACCCGTGGAAGCTCATTACAACTTTTTCTTGACTAGCAGACCATCGCCATCATTTCAGTCAGGGAAGGTATAATTCAATTGGGTTCTTTTGACAAGGTACTTTTCTCTCCCCCTCTTTGTCTCTCTTGGACTCCCAATCTTGTGCATTAATTAATAGGAATTCCCGATCTTCTAGATTGTGGAAGACCTTAATTTGGTAATCAGGATGCAGAGGAAATTCAGCTATCTCCAAAGCATACCAGGAATCTTTGCAATACAAAGGCCATACCTACCAATCCAGCATCCATATGCTATCAAACCCAACACCAATATGATTGAAAACCAAGAAATAGCTTTCTCAGTTGATGACAAACGCAAAATACCAGGCGTTAAGAGATTGTTTGATGAAAGATTAGATGATTCTCCGATAAAGTCAATCAACTTGGGCTGGAACAGTCCCCGAAATGTAATTCCTGGACCACCCATTTGGTCAATACCACCGCTTCTGCCCACCATGTCTAGCAGTCTTGGAGCTTTGTTATCAAAGCTACCTTCTGTGACCCCTTCGTATAGTAGCATCGAAGCTCTAGACACAGCTCTTCTTAATAGCAACAACAACAATAACGGTACAAGCCAGAGAGTCAAGGTTGATAATTGCGGAGTAGCAAGAGAAGGCCAACAACTTGCTGTTACAAAAATTGTCTCCTCTAGCCATTTAGATGCTGCTCAAGAAGAAAAACCAAGTTCCATAAACCCTAGTTTAAACTTACAAGACAGGGTGGTCGGCTTTGGACCTCTAAGAGAGGGAGAAAGTGGCTTGAGCCTCAATCAATAAGCAGAACCAAATTGTATTTATCATTATGTTTCATCGTCTTACGCACAAATTTGGCATTGTTGACGAATATTAGTGCATGATAAATTGCTCTTAATTGTATCCTACGTTATCAATGTAGCTTAAAAATCGTTTTTCCCTTTCGTTTTATACGTGAAAACTAACCAACATTATTACATCACGAGAATGAAGTCATTATCAAATTTAGCCCTTCTAATTGTTGGGGACGTAACACTAACATACTTGTCTCGTATCTACAGCATGTAGCAGAAATACAAGCTTATTACAGCCTTTATAGATGAGAGTCATGTTAATAGTCATGAGCTCAAGGGCGGGATGGGGTGTTATTGTGGGGTTGATCAATCGTCCTCTATCCCTATCCTTTTGGGTAGCGGTACTCAAAGCATATGCAATGGTCCCCAATAATCAAAATTGAGAGGAAAAAATGGCAGGAGATAATTGAGTTTTGTATCAACTTGTTTTGTGAGACATTTGGTATCTAAACCCCGACACTACGGATGGTCCCCGACCTCAATTTGTTGATGTTTTTCTTTTGAATTGATGTGCTATCGCAATATGTCTAAGAGAATGAGTTGTGATTTGTCTTAATGAAACATTCATCTGAACCCATTTGCTAGCATAAGACAACATGTTAAGCTCGGTTGTAAACGGTAAAAAACAGAACGGGATCAACAACGTCGGAATTTAGTAATTTTCGCCAAGTAAAAAAAAGATGGTTGTCTCGAATTTATTTATCTGATTTTTCTGTCCTGTGAAGCGAAATTTTGTTCGCAAGACAAATCACTACTTGCCAATTCTCCTATTTTTAAGTTTACGAACTTTGAAAATGTTGGAACTTGGAAATCTTCGGGGCAGAAGTTTGGAACTGGATTGAGGTAACGCTCATGATGTCATGTGAAATTTAAAATGCCCTATTATTAACCTTGGTATTAAGGTTTTGAATGCTACTGTATTCAAAAAAAGAAAAAAAAATCAAATCGTCAAATTGGGTTCGATGGATATCCTACAAACTGATTTAAGGGCATGAGAACCAAGATCATAAAGCTATGCCAGTGAGGACAGATTATATAGGTTGAGAACCCATATTATAGAGAGCATGGAGCCCAGCCCGGAAAGGCAAATCATAAAGCCCATAGAGATTTGATAATATTACATGCCTACTAGTAGAGCGTATTCGTGAAGAACTCTTATTTGTTTCCCGTGCTCAGTGCTCTGTAGCAAGTCTCATTTCCTACTTCCTGGAAGTAGGAAATTTCCTGCTTTCCTTAGGTGGCAATCTTTTAACATTGTAGTAGTTTTCATATAACTTAGACACACACAATAGACTTTCTAACATTAACCCTTGGGTTTTTTCCTACCTTCGATTCTACCTTTGTTTTTCTTCTCTAATATTTCTCTTAGCCTTTTTATTATTGATGAGGTTGGAAACCTCATACAGAAATATGATGACAACGTGTTTTTTTTTTTTTTTTATGGATCAAGAAACAGTGGATAATCTAATTTGTTCAAAATTTTTGCAAAACAAGTTTTTCTTATTGGGTAGAAGACCCTCCTACGGTTGAAATTGATGATCAATGATAATCTAATTTGCTCAGAATATCTGCCAAACAAGTCATTTTTATTGATTAGAGGACCCTCAAATGATTGACTTAGCGTATGAAGAGAGGAGATGCCAAAATACGTTGTAATATGATTGTATTGGGGTGTAGGAGATGATAAATAGTAATATTGAAGGTGAAGAGAGCAGAGTAGGATCCTTTAACCTTCAGTTCCAAGATAAATGTTGTTGTAAGATAAATGTTTATTTCTTTACTCCCAATAATCTCTTGACATCAATTTGAAAGATAAATGTCTTTGTAAGAGTTGACTGTCGTCGTAACGTCATGATTGGTGTCGATTAGACGAACAATTTAGCGAGCATGTCTTCACTAAATGCAGCTACTTTTTGTCTCACTGGTAAATAAAATAGCATCTTGGTTATCTAGTTGATCATTCGGACTAACATTGTGAGAAGCGTCTAGTTTAGAGCATCGTGAGGGCTTAGTTGTCTACTATTTTCCTCCTAGATAAGATCATGTCTACAAAATTTTAGGATATATACACTGACTCATGTAATTCGGCCGCATCAATTACTTTTCTCCATGAAACAATAAAATGTTTTCAAAATCCTTCTTACCTAGGGTTTTTTTACTGAAAATTTAGCTATCATTTTTCATAATTCAATTGAGAATTTACATCACAAAATCAAAAAACATTAATCAACAACTCAAATAATTTGCTGCAACATTCAAGCTAAAAAGAAGGCGCAACTCAACTGACACTATGTCCCGTCCTAAAATTACCTCTCAAATTCAAGTCTTTTTCAGGTGAAGAGAGAGAGAGAGAGAGAGAGATCGCACAATGAAACCAGAGAACTTATAACTTAATAATAATAATCTCTTACGACAAGAGATTATAGATTCAAATCTTATTTACTTAAAAATACCGTACCTGTGAATTATATAAAAAAAAAAAAAAAACAAATTGCACGATGCAATGGATGTTTTGGTTAATGGCCTTGTGCTGGTCCATTCTTTCATATCCCATCATAGTTCAGGGTCCTGCATCACAACTTCCAGCCTATGTTCGCAAGTTGTTTTCCTTCTGTTGGAATCGGATCATGTACTATCTTCACACTTGCATGGGAAAATCTAAATCAAATAGCAATCATATTAAAAGTCGCGCCCTTTTTTTACAAGGAGGAAATTATTGTGTTTGATTCTTCCAGAGAAACAATTGATGAACATCAATATATGAAAGACAGATATAAGCGATGTAGAAACTAGGATAAATGCCATTGATGTTTTGCATACCCAATACAAGCGATGTAGGAACAAGGCTAAATGCCTTTGGTGTTTAGCACAAAGGGCATCGCAGCCCCCAACTTCATCATAAGTCATGTTGCTAAATTATGACAAGCATTTACAGAAGATATTGGAAACATATAACAACCTGTCTAGCTTCCAGATGAATACAGATAAAAAGGAAATTATTTACATCATCAGCACCTGAATGATCATTTAATTATCATCCATCTTTGGGTATCCAATGAAGTAGAAATTAAGGTCTGCAGTATAATAAAACCACGAAGAAAAGAATAAAAACCAAGTATGATTCTCTTCTCATTTCTTTGATCCTATCATCTGCTGCTGCTTCCAGGCGCAAACTATTGCTCAAGCAATACTCTTTTTGCTTTCGGTTCCATGAGCCCAGTAAGGCTTAGCAGGAGTACGCCTCAATGCCTTCACTCCAAATGGGTTGCCCTTGCTCTGTTCAAGAGTTCAAACAAATAAAACAGGAAGCAAGTGTTAAAATTCTCAAAAGTATACGCCACAAAATACCATTAAAGCGTAACAATGGAAAGAAAAAATAAAAATCTGCCAATTCCTTCGAACAACAAATTAGTTTTCTGAAGGGATATGTATGAATTATGATATACATAAAATGGTTTAAGAATAGCAAATGTAGTTTGTCTTACAATCAAGCAGGTTCCTTCGTTAAGGTTGCAGACTGGGTAGTCATGTGGGCAGCAGCTATAATGGTCATCACAGCAGGTGGCACCCTCGAGTGGGCAGCATCCCCATGCAAAGCAATACTTTCCATACTCAAAGATGCAGCAGCAAGTGTTGCTCTCAGGGCAGGAATAGTAATTATCGCACACAGAAGGAGGCTCTACTGGAGATGGAGGAGATGGACCAGGATTGGGGGGATTTTGGCCTTTCTTGATTGGGTAAGAGGGCTCAATTGCAATTCCACATATCCCTGTTGCCTTGGCAATGTTTCGCTCCATTCTGATATAGCCGCGCTCTCCCCAGCTCTTACCCCATGAGTTCCTCACAATCCAGTAATCTTTACCCTTTTCAGTTCCATAGCCCACAGCAGCAACACCATGGTCCAGCTCTGTCCCACATTCTCCCGTAAATATGCCCTGGAAGTTAAGGAAATAAAATCTAATTAATTATGATCGGTTCTTGAAGCCATTACTCAATTAAACTGCATGTTTGGCACCTCAACAAAGTTCTGCTATTCTTTTAAGAATCATTACTCTCCATCAAAACCATCATCGGGGTCTTTATACATAATAACATGACAAAGGGAGAAACTTTTTACCGATTGATAGAACTGGAAACCTCTGCCACTGGCTTCAATTGCGACGCTCACTGGCTGATTTGCCACCGCCTTTTTCAATGCTGTCTCATCATTAAAAGGAACGTCTTCATAAGAATCGATTGAAACAACTTTGGCATTTTTCTGCAAACGCAAACAACTAATAAGAAAGCGTCTTATTGAATAAACAAATTTCATTATCTGCATTCCTTTCTTTGTGTTTCAGTTTCCTCTTGAAGACCAAAGAAGGCTCACCCTGTATGTGTCGCATCTGCCATCACGACCAAGGTAGGGATAATCTTCTTCGGTGTCAATGCCACCATTGTTAATGATGAACTCAAAGGCATAGTCCATAAGACCACCATTGCACCCTTCATTATAACTAGTATCACAATCCACCAACTCCTGCTCAGACAAAGAGATTAAATCGCCAGTGACGATCTTGTTAATCCCTTCCACAGCAGCAATTGTTGAGAACGCCCAGCAACTCCCTTTACATCAAAAGAAAGATCAGAAATTTACCCCTTCAAAATGTATAGAAATGCAAACGTCTCAAGACTCACTTTGATTCAAGCAAGTCAATTTATTATCTCAACACATGAATCTTTAATCAAGAAAGGAAGGATTCTTTGCCTAATAATATTTTGTCCCATGGCAATTTTGGTTTTCTGAATCAATCAAGGAGTAAAATGTACCATTCAAATGCGGATAGCTGTTAGCCCTTGCGCAGTGAGTCCCAAAACAATTATGACTGTTAGTTTGGAGCCTACTCGCATAGGAAGAAACCGTAACTACGTTCAAAACACAGCCATGTCCGTAGGCGTGAAACCTGCTAA